TAAATTTAAGTTATTAAAATGTAACAAAAAAATTTATTTTTACCTTGAACAACCGCCACCATAGTTCACGAGTGACCGCCGGAACCTCACCATAAGTCGACCACGGCCCGGTGAAATGACCACAAACAATAGACTTGATTCTATTCAAGACCTCGGAATCGCTTCAAAAAATTGATAATTGATAAAAACAATTGTATTAATTCTTAGATGTAGAGATTATACTATTTTATATTAGAGTGTTAGTTTTTTATTACCTATAGATTGATTGAGGTGTCACCTCAAGCGAACCGGGATTGTGGCGCTCTTCTTGAGTGGGGGGGGGGGGCATATATTGCACGAGATGAAGGAGGTGCATGAGATGATGCCCCCTCCCCATGCACGCTTATATGAGCGTTTGATTGTTCGGAGGGAGGAGTTTGGACATGTCCGTCAAGAGCTTGTCCTTCGTCGGGATTGATATCATCATTGATATCACGATCAGCGTTTGAGGCCCGTCGTGAATTCTGACGCCCACGACGAGCAATGGTGGAAAGGCGGCGTTCGTGCTCACTCATCTAAAATTATTGAGAAATAATATATAGAACATATTAAACTTGTGTTTAATATGAGAGGTCAAATGAGTTTTCACTTTGATTTTTATGTTATGGAATTTAATTGTGTTAGATATTATTTTATCAAACCTTATAAAATCAATTTATGGAGTTTTTGTGTGGTATGATAGTTTAAACTTAATGAGTTTCCTATTTGGTTATCAAACTTTGAAATATAGAACATATTAAACTTGAGTTTAATATGAGGGGTAGAATGTGTTTTTTGTATGATTTGTATATTATTGAATTTAATTGTGTTAGGTATTATTTTATGGTGTTTTTGTGTGGTATAAAACTTTGATATATAGAACATATTAAACTTGAGTTTAATATGAGGGGTCGAATCAGTTTTTTGTATTATTTTTATGTTATGGAGGTAACTTGTGTTGTGTATATTTTTTTATCAAACCTTATATCAAATCAATTAATCAAACTTTTTATATTAAACTAATAAAATCAGTTTTTCCATATTAAATTATAAATCATCGGAAATAAGTTTTTTTGCATTAATTTAGAAAAATACAGTTTAATACATCTTGTATTTTGTATTATTTATAAAAAACAGTTTTCTAAAATCAGTTTATGGAGTTTTTGTGTGGTATTATGGTTTAAACTTATTAGTTTCCTATTTATTTATCAAACTTTGAAATATAGAACATATTAAACTTGAGTTTAATATGAGGGGTAGAATGAGTTTTTTGTATGATTTTTATGTTATTGAATTTAATTGTGTTACGCATTTATCAATCTTTGAAATATAGAACATATTAAACTTGAGTTTAATATGAGGGGTAGGATGACTTTTTTGTATGATTTTTATGTTATTGAATTTAATTGTGTTAGGTATTAATTTATAAAAAACAGTTTTCTGATTTTTGAAATCTATAAAATCAATTTTTTCAAAAAAAAATTAAAAATCAGTTTCATTTTTTGTTTATTCATGAAACCTATAAAATCAATTTTTCATGAAACATATGAAATCATTTTCGTATTATATAAACAAAAACAGTTTGTTTAGTTTTTTATTTCTGTTTTAATATATAAAATACATTTTTTTACTTCATTTCTGTTTTTTACCTATGAAAAAGTTTATTATTAATTTCTGTATTATTTCAATTATTTCATATTTGCTTATCAAGCTTATCAACAATGTAAAAAAATGACGTTTTTTTGTTTTTTATGAAACAACGTGCATTAAATAATTAAAAACATGTAATAAAATTACGAGCATGCATATGAATATTCGGAAACATATAAACATTAAAACAATATTAAGAAAAACATGCATTAAATAATTAAATTTACGAGCATGCATATGAATATTAAGAAAAACATATAAACATGCATGTATATTAAGAAACACATGCATTAAATAATTAAAAACATGCAATAAAATTACGAGCATGCATATGAATATTCGGAAACATATAAACATTAAACATATACACATATTCAATGCATGATAACTTATTAACATATAAACATTAAATTAAACAATTAAACAATATTAAGAAAAACATGCATTTTATTTTTGGCATTTTAAAACATTTATTCTAAAATATTCGGAAATTAAAGAGTTAGAAACATAAACTCGGAGAAGAAGGCAAGAAATTAAAGGGAAAGAAGTGAAGGCCGGCTTCGAATAACGGCGGCAGGGGTGGAGATAATCCGCGGTGGCCGGTGAGATGTGTGCGGCGGCAGTCGGCGGGTGTAAGAGAGGCAGAAGGGTGGTGGTCGGCGGGTGTAATAGAGGAAGAACGGCGTTTGGGAGGGTGGCGGTCGGCGGGTGTAGGAGGCAGAAGTGTTTGGGAGGCGTTTGGGAGGGTGGCGGTCGGCGGGTGTAGGAGGCAGAAGTGTTTGGGAGGGGTTTGGGAGGGTGGCGGTTTGGGAGTAGAGAGTAAGCGTAAGGAAAACTTAGGGTTTGCTTGCTGAAGAATTGGAAGCGTAAGGAAAAAAATGGCTAAGTGTCGTTTATATATTAGGGGTTGTCACGGACCCATCCGTGACAACGCCCGTGACAAATTAATTACGGATTTTGAAATTTGAATTTGTCACGGATTAATCCGTGACAAAAGCATCGGAACTTGAAAACTGCGGAACGGCAGTCGAGGCGGCAGGGAACGGAAGACGAGGTAGCAGAACGGCAGGTTGACCGGTTTGTCACGGATCCATCCGTGACAAATCCGTGACAAAATTCAAATTTTTGAATTTTGTCACGGATGGATTCGTGACAAACCGATGCAGGGAATATTAAAGCTTTTCAGCCTTTTTCAGACGAGGCGTCAGCTACTTTAATTGTCACGGACCTATCCGTGACAAATTTAAGTATAAATATGTGCTTAGAGTCCCATTTTTTCAGTGCGAAAAAATGGCTAATCCAGAACCAGATGTGTGGAAGTTGATCAGTAGAAGTGTACAACGATTAATACAAGTTACACAGTTGATGAAGTCTCGAAATGCAGAAGCAGTTCAAAGCATCCGTGAGCTGATGAGTAGACCGCTTGAAAGCTTTGGCGATATTGTAGACTATGAATCAGACTCATACAACGTTTCACGAGGGAAAAACTTGCGTAGGGTACTTTTACGTGCAGAACAATGTTCGGAGTATATGATACCTATAAACGCGGAAGCTGCAGAAAGAATTAACGAGCTACTTGATAGGCCTCTAGATGAAAGTTTTGACGCTAATGAATAATATTGTGTTTATTTGTTTATCTGTATTGTGAGTTGTTGAATGTAATAAATGATAAAAAATTGTGTGTTTTCTACTTAGTTTTTAAATTTAATAAATAAATTCATGTTCTTGTTTATTAAATTTCGAATTATTAAAATTTTGTAATGTTAAAAAACTAATAACAAATAATGTTAAAAAACTAATTTCCGAATTTTAAATAATGTTAAATTTCGAATTATTTAAAATTTAAATAATTTTCAATTTTCGAAATCACCTAATTAATTTTAAATTTCCGAATTGATAATAATGAACCACTAATTTTCGATTGAATAATTTTAAAAACTTAATTTTATTAATTAATCAATCGCTATTTTACAATATAATATGGAATAATTATTTTGTTTAGAAATTATAGTTGTGAATTACATACCTAACTATTATATCTTGGAATAATATAATAATGACGAAAGAAAGTTAAAAATTCAAATTAAAATAGTTCAATTAAAAGTAATTACATTGGTTGTTAACTATACATTTAATCGCTATCAGAATCAGTATTTTCTTGATAGCCAACTTCTTCTTCTGTATCTTCATCATCATATATCCATTCTTCTTCTTCCTCCTGGTCATCGTGCAGTTATTGTATATATAATTCTTCAATTTCGCGCTCATTTTGAGGTATAGGGGGCGGAAGGTGTGTTTCAGGCATAACTTCAACATCTCCGCCATTTGGATCACTTAACTGAATGTTATGGTTGACCGTGTCAGCAATAGGCGTAGAGTGGAAAAAATCTTGCTGAAAAGCATCAAAGTCAATATCCTTGTGTTGAGCCTGTGTTACAATTTTGCTCGGACGGATATTAATGGCACACACCCAAGGATTCCGTGTGCGCCTCGTTGAAGGATACTCTGCATAATAAACATGGGCTGCTTGTTGAGCAAGTATAAATGGCTCATTTTTCTGATACACACGAGAGTGGTTGACGTCAATTATATTATACTTTGAATTTTTTCTCACACCACGTGTAGGGTCGACCCATGTGCAGCGAAACAACACGCATGTTAATTCTTGCAAACCAGAAGGCATTTGAAGTTCGAGAATCTCATGCAAGAAACCAAAAAAATTGGTTTCCGAGTTATCAGAACCGATGGTCGGGACACATAACCCGCTGTTCATTGTTGGTCGACCTTCTCTATATTCAACTGTGTGATACGTATAACCGTTTATCACATATGAATGCCAAACCTTTGCATAGGAAGAAGGGCCCCACGATAATGATACTAACAGAGGGTCGTTAATCCCACGGTACCTGATCTGCAAATTAAAACATGATAACATTAGGTAATGATTAAAAATTACTAGCTAATAGTATATATAATGTATAGTATTTATATATATATAATACCTGCTGTTGGTACCATAATGCAAAGTCAGAGTCCACCATTGCATCAATTGCATCATCAGGAAATGCTGATAAAGACGCTCTAAATTCACTGTGAATTGAAACATAGAGATATTATTATAACACTCTAATTATTAAAAAAATATTAGCTATATTACAAATGTAACTACCACTTCAACTTACTTATAAAATGGTAAGATTTCTGGACAATTCATGAGGATGTAAGTATGTGCAATTTTCATTTCTCCGCCCATGATGTAACGGTAAGTCGCAGCTCCTTTACCTCTACCTGGGTAGTTGAAAATAGAAACTACTTTATCATATGAATCCTCGTCAATGTCATCGTTCCGAGCAGGTCTCTTTCTTTTACTGATGACTTCACACTCAAAATAAAAAGATGAAAACGTTGAGGTTTCTTGTTGAATATATGCTTGACAAATTGAAGCCTCAATGTGTGCCTTGTTGCTCGCTTTCTTTTTCAAATCTCCCAAAAATCTGTCATGCAAAATAAAATTTGTAAACAAACAAATGTTCTTATTAAACAAATCATCGTTTATAAATGAAATTATGACTAACCTTTCAAATCTGTACATCCAACGATAGAAGACGGGCCCTCCATTCAAAGCCTCATACGGAAGATGTATTAGAAGATGTTCCATTACATCAAAAAATGATGGGGGCAGTATCTTTTCCAGATTACACATCAGAATAGGAACAATGTCTTCTAGTCTCCTCAGGGATTCGACATCCAAAACGGCGGAACATATCGACTGAAACAATTGACTGATTTCGGTAATACAACCCCAGACGTTTGCAGGAAGCATCTCTTTCAGTGCAATCGGCAGAAGTCGTTGCATGATTACATGAGCATCATGAGTTTTCATGCTCGACGTCATTGTTTGTTTGTCCAGGTCCACGCATCTTGACAAGTTAGAACAATAGCCATCTGGAAAGTTCAGAGAAACAAGCCACGCACTCTAATATTGATTCCCTTTGTGGGGCTGTGAGTTGGTAGACTGCTCTTGGAATTTTTTTACCCACATATTCTAGATCGACGGCGAGTTCGGGTCTGTCGCACCAAATTGTCATGTCTTTTCTAGATGCAAGACCATCTTTGGTTTTGTGGGTAAAATCCATAACCGTGTTAAATATATTGTCAAAGGCGTTCTTCTCAACGTGCATGACATCTAAATTGTTACGAATGAGAAGGTCATTCCAATACGGCAACTCCCAAAATATACTCCTCTTTGTCCACTTATGGGTATCACAATACCCATTTGGCTCCCCGTGGGGTTTCTGCACGGCCGTAGGAAAACGTCGAACCCGGTTAAAAACTTGTTCACCTGTAAGTCTTGGAGGAGGGGGATCTCGTACCTGTCACGCCCCGGACCTAGCCGGACACGTCAACAACCCACCGTACAGCACGAATAGTCAACCGCAGCCCAACTCATCCATACTATACAAGGCGTCATGAATATCATTCACACATAGTACATCCATAAACAAACATAATGTAAAACATTCATTTAAAACAGCGGAAGCATTTAATAAAAGTGTCTTAGCCACACTTTGGCATACATGGGCATGCAAGCCCCCAAATAGTTATTCAAATAATATCCATGAGCATTATTATAATTGTTTTTGAAATCAGAAAAACAGAAGAAGCACGAACCACGTCTTCTCCTCTGAATATCCCGAGCAACGGGCACCGGTAGCAACCTTCACGTCCTACCTGAAACTGTGAGGTGGCCTCCCCCGTGAAGGGGAGGTCAGTACTTGGAAATATTTGACAAGTACAATAGCAACTATACTAAGTATAATCAACGTTTTAATTTCCAAGACCCTCAAAATAGGGTGATATCATAATATAAATATGATTTATATTTCCCACTTATTACCTTTATAATAAGTAAGTTTATTTATTTGTCGGCACACGGCCCTTCTTATAAATCCTTTTTCTTTTATCATTTGCACAACCCAACCCTTGGGTCCTATTATTTCTACGGGACTTGCTACCGCTGTCCGAGACCTCATGAGGCTCCCGGTTCGGACTCCAACATCCCGCCCCTGGACTCGTACCCATCATCCCGTAGGAAGGTAAGGCCCTTTGGGGTCCTATCTTATGTGTTACCGCTACCGGAACCTAGTTAGGTCTCCGATTCGGATTCCACCCTAACCCGTGATCACGATGTAAGTCCATGCTATCCAACCCCGCTCTCTAGAGTCGGGAAGGGCCATGGTCCTTACTATTTCCATCATTCAACCGGCTATCCACAAGAATTACCGATCACGCCCGTAGGCCAATCCTATACTTAGGATCAATTTAATATTCACACTATCTTGGGTATCCCCTAAGGCCTACCCCTAGTATAACTTAAAGTTCATACTTTCCTACCTTAAAGCATCTCTTAAGACTACTTAAGGCATAACATTTCACAATCCAACCTTAGGATCAATCTTAACAACATTTCATTTTAATGTCCAACTAGTATCTTAATACTAGTCAAATTAATATCAACAAACCAAGTTCTCAACTCGTAGTCATATAGACAATTCCAACTGATTTTCCTTTGAAAATATCATTTATCTCAATGTTCAAAATATCACTTTTAATCACTCATATATTCTAATATGAAGAAAAGTATATTTCAACATATGTTTCATAATAAATTCCACTTTCAAGGCAACATACTCATAACACATGAACATACACAATTTACTCTTAAATTTGTATATCATGCTCCCTCTTTCTTTAGACATTTAGTCTTTTCATTTTTAGGCATTATTAATCCTTAATAATCCATAAAAACACATTTAATTACCTTCGGTAATCTCGTGAAATTAACTCACTAATTATAAGCAATATAGTCAGCCATCCTCACCTTATGAAGTGCTGAAATAGTTGCCTTTGCTAAGCCCCTCGATCAATCCCCGTTCTAGGCCGATTGAAGGTGTAAAACTGAGCTGCTGGGCAAAAGCCGGGCGGCTTTCGTGTTATGCAGAAACGGGCAGAAATATCACCACTTTATATCAATATTCTACACTTTTAAACGTGTAGAACATCATGTTTAATCCACCATATGATTTCTTACAAATCATACATGATAAAACTAGTTAAAAGAGGGTAGATGAGTTCTTACCTTCTTCTTAGCTAGTTTTCTCCTAGGATTTCTTCTTCCTAGCTTCCTCCAACTATGGCCTGCTGAGATAGCTTTCTGGAGCCCTTCTCTCTCCTCTCGTGTTGGCTGAATGAGTGGAATGGGAAGGGGGAGGCACCTCTACTCAATCAAGCAAAATAATGCATGAGTAGGGTCCTAAAAATGGCAATTTTGACTCATGCCATCCCCTCACTTAATGACTCCGCACACACACACTTTCCATGGTCTCTTCCAGCTCCTCCCTTGTCTGCTGGAGTCTAAAGGAACGTGGGGCGGCCCCCACTTAGGTGGGAGGTCATCCCGTTATGTCTCGGTGTGTACAATTGGTCCCGAAAGTTGTATTTCTCGGTCCGTTTTGATTATATTTTATTTTATCGGGCCAAATAAAATATATCACGTGTTCCTAATAATTATGGGCCTTTAGAATAGATGTACATTCCCCAACATTAATTTAGGAGTCTCCGAAACTCATTTCGGGCTGTTATCCGTTAAATTACCAATACCGGTAATTGGGCCCCGTTTGACCAACCGGTCAACCCCATGCCTTTCTTATGGCTCAAATAAAATATCCACCACCATATACATATTATCTAGGCCAAGATGAATATAATATGTGGTTCGGGAATTATCGGGTGGTCCCCGTCCCGCTGTGGGCCCCACATGCAATTTACTATACACGTAAAAGAAATAATAAAAATTTACAATTACGCAAATTCATAAATCATCCTTCAAGGTTTATTACATAATTTACTAAAAGTAAATATGCTCGGGGTCGGTGTTACAGTACCACTCTTCCGGCAATAAAAGACTTCTTGTCCTTTCGATATCGATGGTTCATAGGCAGAAACTTGCGGTGACAATCAAAGTAACTTGGTTTCCCGCTAAATTTGAGCCAATTGGCATCTGATTTCTCCATACATATCGGACATCCCATAAGACCGTGTGTGCTCCATCCTGAAAGCATACCATAAGCAGGGAAGTCGCTAATGGTCCAAATGATGGCAGCTTTCATGATAAACATTTGATTTTTTGAAACATCATAAGTTGGTGTCCCAATGGCCCAAAGTTCTTTCCTCTCCTCGATCAGGGGTTGGAGATAGATGTCTATCCTTTTTTTAGGATCCGAGGGACCTGGACAAATTAAAGTTAAAAAGATGAAATGACTTTTCATGCACATGTCGGGAGGAAGATTATAAGGTGTTAGCATGACTGTAGGGAGGAAACGCCCACTAAAATATTATTTAGAAACATTAAGCTGGCCGTAATTCATAATTTACTAATATTTAACTAATAGTAATATGTTAATGGCATTAATCGTTTTAATTATTAACTAATAAAGTTTGAATCCTAACTGAAATCACTACAAATCCTAAATTATGCATTAACAATAATTAACTAATAAACAAATTAAACCTAATCATCATCATTGATCAATTAATTAACTAATATTTAAATCTAACTAATATTATCAACTCAAATTCTAAACCCATTTCCTCAATGTTTTAACTTAATTAATTAGTTAATTAAGTTACATTTAACTAATATTTTTGTTAAATATTATCTCATTAATAATTCACAATAATAATTCACAATAATAATTCAAACTAAACTAAATAAAAATAAAGTTTCAATCCTAGCTATATATATTATGCATCCCATTAACAATAATTAACTAATTTAACTTATTAATTAGTTAATTTCCATTTAACTAATATTGTTAAATATCATTAATTCACAATAATATATAATTCACACTTAACTAATAAAGTTTGAATCCTAACTTAAATCACTACAAATCCTAAATTATGCATTAACAATAATTAACTAATTAATAAACAAATTAAACTTAATCATCATCATTGATCAATTAACTAATATTTAAATCTAACTAATATTATCAACTCATCAAATTCTAAACCCATTTCCTCAATGTTTTAACTTAATTAATTAGTTATCTAATTTACATTTAACTAATATTATTGTTAAATATTATCTCATTCATAATTCTCAATAATAATTCACAATAATAATTCACAATAATAATTCACACTAAACTAAATAAAAATAAAGTTTCAATCCTAGCTATATATATTATGCATCCCATTAACAATAATTAACTAATTTAACTTATTAATTAGTTAATTTCCATTTAACTAATATTGTTAAATATCATTAATTCACAATAATATATAATTCACACTTAACTAATAAAGTTTGAATCCTAACTTAAATCACTACAAATCCTAAATTATGCATTAACAATAATTAACTAATTAATAAACAAATTAAACCTAATCATCATCATTGATCAATTAACTAATATTTAAATCTAACTAATATTATCAACTCATCAAATTCTAAACCCATTTCCTCAATGTTTTAACTTAATTAATTAGTTAACTAATTTACATTTAACTAATATTATTGTTAAATATTATCTCATTAATAATTCACAATAATAATTCACACTAAACTAAATAATAATAAAGTTTCAATCCTAGCTATATATATTATGCATCCCATTAACAATAATTAACTAATTTAACTTATTAATTAGTTAATTTCCATTTAACTAATATTGTTAAATATCATTAATTCACAATAATATATAATTCACACTTAACTAATAAAGTTTGAATCCTAACTTAAATCACTACAAATCCTAAATTATGCATTAACAATAATTAACTAATTAATAAACAAATTAAACCTAATCATCATCATTGATCAATTAACTAATATTTAAATCTAACTATAATTATCAACTCATCAAATTCTAAACCCATTTCCTCAATGTTTTAACTTAATTAATTAGTTAATTAATTTACATTTAACTAATATTATTGTTAAATA